TTGAAATGTAGAATATTTAAGGATTTGGCTAATTTTATTCGAAATCCTAATTATTCTTAATTATATTAGTTATTATCATCGAAAGCAGCGGTGTGAAGATTTATTTATAAAGCATGATACATAAAACATTCAGGTACAATGTGAAATAAGAAGTCTCGTTAAAATTTATATCATGAGAGTATATAGAGTGAACTGAAATATAATTAATTATTTTAATGCATAGTGCATAATTTATTAGAAATTGATATAACTTGTCATTAAAATAAAAGTCTTTCAGTATTAATGTGAAAAGAATAAAAAGAGCTTTACATAATATCAAGCGATTTCTTTAAAGCACTTTTTGTAAAGTACTTGGTTCGTTAATTGACAAGAATTGTTCTTATATTACAGTAATTTCCAATGTCGATAATGATCCTTAATTATTTTAATCCTTCAAAATATTGTTACAAAATATTTAAAATTTATGGCTTAAATTTTTAGGCATTTAATGTGCGTTGTATGAATTTTAACTAGATATTGTTAGAGAAATAAATGAAAATTAATGATTTTTAAGAATGTAAGCCAAAATTTTTAATTTATTTTATTTTCTAGCATGAATATAGAATATTAGTTTAAAAGATGTAGGTATATCATGTAAATTTAATTCCAATATCTATTAAAAAAAAAAAAGTTACCTAATTATTACTATTCGTTTAATTAAGCAATATTCACCAATTATTTATAAACATGCAACAAATATAAAAAAAATTAATAGCAAATGCATTTTATATAAATTACGTGACTATATATCACTGAAATACATTAATTCACGGGAGACTTAATGTGATTAAAAAAAAAAAAAAAAAAAAAATAAATAAATAATAATAATAATAATAATAATAAAATGAAATATAAATACACTGCTCCGTAATAGTTTCCCTTATAATTTTACGAAGATATTACGGAAAATTTAACCTCAGTACATACGCTGTATATTTGATGTATATTTTAAACGATGCGCATAATATTCTCTACATATTTGATTAATCACATTATACTAAAAAAAAAAGCCGTGGAACTCACACACACTCGCACACTCGCGCAATTAAAACATATACTTTAAGAAATGGCGATACGTCATGACTCATTACTTAATATGTTTTAGTGGGTAGGAAGAGTGCCTATAGAGTACTGAGTTTTATATAAATTTCCATGTTACGACTATACCAATTCCGCAATCGTGAAATAAATTATCAGATAGCGCTACGTACTAAATAAAATATTATAAAATTTTTGTTAAATTGCGCATAAAACTTGGATATGCTCGTATTATCGAGTGACCAACGATATCAAATATCTGGAATATCGGTCGAAGTTTGGGGTGAGAAAGTAAGAACACCGCGATTAGGAATATCTGCATTTACTGTCCTTGTATCGGTTGTCATACTTGCCATACGATATAGAGAATAATATTGGTAATGTGCATAGAACGTTGTTTAGTACGTAATAATTTAAGTAAGTTTCCTTATCTTCGGTAACTACAAGCCAGAGCAGATGCATAAAAAATTATTATGCAAACAACAGATTCTATCATATACGAAAATGCAACTAAACAAATCAATTAACGAGTAAATAATGACATAAATACTTATTTATTTATACGTCACTAATGTATGTGATGAAATAAATAAAAAAAAAAAAAAAAATTCATTTCTTACCCTATGAGTCCTGTGTAGTCGTGTTACTCGCGACGCCCTTTATCTACTTATATAACACCTGACACCGGCGTCTCGACGACCGATTCTGTTGATGACTGTCTAGAGAACCACTGATCTGTCTCTCCAATAGTCTCAGTTTCATCGTCATTGAGACAATGGATTACTCATTGCTGTAAAATGCCTACTTTCACCCGAAAACGGAACTTCGTCAGCATGTGATCGGTGATCGGCTCATGTATATCGATTGTCTCAGTCATCCCTCTAAACGCTCAGTGTTTAATTGTACAGACAATCGCTTATTATTAGTCGTCAATCAATGTCAAATATTCCCGTATTAGAAAAATACTGGTTCTCTATTATACTTGACTTTGACGAAACATAACTCGAGTCGCCATGGATTATCTACTAATTCATTCGCTCGGCATCGAATGACCAAGAAATTTATGTATAATGTAAATAATATATTATATTAATACAAAAGTAAAGAAAATTTGTGTGTAACTAAAATCGGTCGATATATTTCATATACTTAACTAAATATATATATATATATATATATATATTTCTAGATCTATATATTTCTATATATATATATATATATATATATTTCAAATGTATTTATATGGTATATATGAGCTATAATATAAAAAATACATAAATAAGTTAAAAATTTATCATCACGGTAACGAAACTAATATGTGTGAAATTATGATTTTCATACTTTATCATGTTCAATGTGCATGTGTGTGCTTGCGCGCCCGGTGTAATAGTAACAATAATAGTACAATAATATATATTCTAATAAGCGTGAATTCTTTCATAAGTTTCCTATAATTATAACGTAAATGATTATATATTTAAATTCAGAGCTTCCGAAAACAAACTACGTACTATGTAATTAAAAAAATAAAAAAATCACACATTTAGACATAATGAATTGCTGATTGATTTTTTACATTTCATTATACATATAATCAATGGATGAAACTTACATTCAGCAACCGTAGCTCCAATAACTCTGAAATCTCTTGAGCGCTTAAAAATTTCAATTTTCGCAGTCCCCCGCAAATATCGTCAAAAATCGTCCTCGTAGAAACATCTCGCAATATATTATTCTGCATGTAATACGGGACATGTAGTCTGAAACTACGTGCTCGTCAATTACGATGATTAATCACGAGCAGTGGAGTGTCCCGTGATTAAAATCACTGCTTTTCTCTCTCGACCTCCTCAACGCTAGAAAAATAATTACACGGCTTATGAGGCGCGAGCTGAGACTACAAGGCGATGATCCACCATTGCGATTTACAAGTGCCGCGCGTTTGCCGCGCGACATCGATCGATACGTAGGCGTTCGAGTTCTCGTGCAAGCCCGAGTGCGCAAATAAGCGAAGTCTACGCTTTGTCACAGCTTCTCTACGTCTATTAGTCGTTCGACGTGAATGGACATATTTTTCAGATGCTTCGGCAGTACGTAAATTCAGTGACATCTCTTTGGAATTTTTCCTTTCTTTTACAGTGCTCTTCTTAAAAGGCCATCTATATGAAACAATTCTTTTTCGAACGTAATTAAATAAACTGTGACGTTTTAATATTACATTGGTACGTTCAATTGTTTTTGTATAGGAGGATAAATTGATGACAAGAAATTACTTTTTACAATTTCAAAAACTTTTCTAGTTTTTATACTAATTATTAATCAATATACAAAGCATTTTCAAAAAATTCTTCATCTGATATAAAGTACAATTATATGTGTGTTTGTATACATTTATAAACCGAATTTATACTATTTTATTGTAAACTTTTTAAAGAATTGTAATAACTAAAATATTTAAATTATTTGTTCGAATTGTATTATCCTTTATCAAGTAATAAACATAATATCAATAATTATATATGAGAAAAGTCAGGTAACGAAACATTAATTTTTGCATAAATAAATGAAAAATGAAATTCATTTAAAGCTTATTTACTATATGTATGTAACTTCTGTAATATGTAACGGCCCAACCAAGAAAATTGTAATTAATAGATAGAAATAATAAATTAATTAGCACAATAGATTTATTAAAGATATGAATCTCATTAATAGCACAATTGTTGCTCAATTATAGTCTAGTCTGATAAATTGATAACGAACATTAATAAAATATTACTATTTACAATATAATTACAGTTTCAGTGAATTTTACCAAGAAGGATGCATTACTAGTTTGATAAAAATAATATTTATTAATAGCAATGGACCGTTCTTATAATAATATAAAACAAATAATTTATATACGAGAAAATTAACGGCTCTCACTTGTATTATTTATAATGTACATATATATATATATATATATAAGTATGTAACTACACATATTTACAAATTATATATAATCGGTTTATTTGTACATTTTTTTTTGTTATATTTTGCATAAAACCTTAACTTCACTTTGCAATAACACTTAACGAGTATTAATTAAATAATTAAATATTGTGTAATAAATATAAAAGTCAATTATGTACTTTCAAATACAAATCATATTAGTTTTAGTATCATAACTATTTTAACATTGTAACCATTTTATCGTAAAATATTAAGTTTAAATTTATAAATGTTTGTTTTCATAATCATTTATAAAACATTTATAAATCATCGGTATATTAAACACCAATTGAATGTAGAATAAATACTCATTATATTATATTTATATATTTTTTAGAATTGTATATTGTTAATAATGTAAAATTAACATTTCAAGGGGCAGTGTATAAAAAAATATATATTTTGTTTCAGAAATATATAGATATTTTCCTGACATTCTTTCATCTGAAATAAATTATTATGTTAATAATTAAGCGTCTAAATCAAATGAATGACTATATTGAAAATGTAGAGAAACATTTTTTTTTTTTGTATTTAAAGGCTATTTATTATACGCGAGTACAATCGAACGTTTGTTTTTATCGTTTTATAAATATATTTGTTTATTATTATATAATTTAAAATTTTAGAATTTTCACAATGAAAGATGTTGCATTACAAAAAAACTAGGTATAACCTCAGAGAATTCTGAACTTATCTATCTGATAAAGCATTGCTCAAAAAGACATGTGATTTGTTGGTGGCAATCACTATAAGTAAAGAAATAGAATTGATATTTTTTATTTCAGTAACGAAATAAGAACAATGAATTATGTTTACACATAATTATAATGATTATGGATAATCTTTTTTCTTTTTTCTTTTTTCTTTTTTTTTCTTCTTTTTTCTTTTTTCTTTTTTCTTTTTTAATATTAATTGTCCCAATTTACCTGTACCATATTCTGTATTAAAAATTCACAACGAGTGAATTAAAATTATTACGAAACTTAAATAATTATTAAAATTTTATAGAAGTAATTAAAAATCGTATATTTGATTTGTAATTTAATATATAATTATGATTAAACGTATTTAGTCTAATTTGTAATTATTACATATAATATTCAAGGAAAATAGTATTTCTATTTTCATACCCAATTCGTCCTAATATTTACAATAAAGTTAAACCTGAATTTTTGAATTTGTAGAAAAAATTAATATCAATTGAAAGTAATTTATATTCTTTTAAAGTAGATAATATGAAAAGGTTCAATAAGTTGCTTTTAAACTTGCTTATTGTAAAAATACATAATACAACATTACTTTCTACGTGATAAAGTTGTATATTATTATTAATATATATATATATATATATATATATACTATAATATCCATAGATATTGTTTAGCCTATAATGTGAATAAATTGTATAAATTTAATGAAATTTGATATGAACTTGAACTACCGAATTAAGAAAATGATCGTAAATTATATAAAATTTTCATTACACACATGTGCCTTTTAATCCAAATTAACTTATATTTATCCACTTACATAATTAAGAAGCTTCGTATAGACTGGCTGGATAAAACATTAATACAGTGATAATTTTAAATAAAAAAACTCTTTGAAGGCAAAGTGAAAAATCACAATATTGGTGAAAATCGCCGAAAGTATCCAGGCATTTACGAGCATTCGGTATGTCAAAGATCGTACCTGGGAGCTACAAATCGAAAAGATTGAGTTTGCAGTCCAGAAGGTATACTCCCTCGCCCCTCTTGAGACACACGTGCGCGCCCCCATGCGCATTTACAAGCGAACCGAGTTTAACCTAGATTGTACTGCTAGTCTCTCTCTCTCTCTCTCTCTCGCTCTCTTTCAACCTTCATATTCTTATTTTCTATCTAGACTATATCTGCAAGAGACAAAAGCCAACCTCCCGCAAATTTTTCTCGCTTCTTTCTGCGGGGGTTCGATAACACTTGGGTTTGCAAGGCTTCGCGGAAGCCCTCCTCAAGCACCGACCTTTCGTATTTGTTCTTTCTGATTTTTTTCGCTAGGGGTAGCGTATCAAGAATTGCAAACTGACGAAGAACATCAGTAGGCCGAGGTTCGGCCGACGTCTCCGGAAGGCGCATTCTGCCTTCTTGGATATATTTGTTTGTCTACTTAATTCGTAGTTGCTTTCAAAATTTTACGTTTACTACTCAGTTTCTTTATCTTTATTTTTTTCCTTCTTTTTTGGTCGCTTACTGGCTTATTTATCGAATGGTGAGATATGGCGCTCTTCGGAATGTTTGCATCGTTGGAAATGGTCGGTAATTATTTTCAACGATAGTTGTACTCCAACAATTTTATTTATGTTTCTGCTGTTAAAATTGAGGTGCATGTGTTCATATTGTAGACGTGATTAAGTGACTTTTATAAATAGTGTAAAATAAAGATTGAGGAGAGCAATTAGTCCTTGAATTTCGATACGCCTAGCATAATTATATATTAACGTTCAGCTTTCATTTTTCTTTTTATATCAAAAAAATTCAAAGCATTTAAATGCGTACGTATAAAAATACCCTTTGATAATGATATACAAATAAATAAATAAAAATTTAATACTTTAATCAATATTAGTTGTAAATGGTTAAGTTATATGTAAAAGAAAATTAAAATCGATTATCGATAAATGAATTTTTGAGTATTTGGTAGTTGTAAAATTAAATCATTTAATCCTTGAAAACTACGGGCAAGTCTATTGTAGATAAATATATAGAGTATTATGAAAACATAGCAATAATAAATAAATGAAATATTAAAATATGATTGTAATTAATTTAAATCAATTTTTATAGATGTTTGAGAACAAAAAATCGATCAACTTTATATAAACTTATGAACGTTTGATGTTTTATATTCAAATATTCAAATTTTTTTTATAATAAATATATTTATAAATAATGACATCGTGACAACTACGGTCAATAATATAATAATCATTTTTCAATAATTCCCAACAGCATTTCTGATATTTATAACATTGACCCCCGTATTAATGCAAGAAGCTTATAACTTGGATTCGCCTTCGTTACTTAACTGTACGACGAGTGCTAATTTCATCATTTTTCATCCAACGAATTCCAGTCGATTAGAAGAACGCAATATTTTGCATCACAGGGACTTTAATAGTAATCAACATTTTAACAAATATTTTGATGATGAATCTGTTAATATATATCCTAATAATCGACCAGCAAAAACATCCACGGACAACAAATATAAGAATAAATATTTTGATGATTCAGAAATTAACAGGCACAATGATGACCAAGACTTTAGAGATTTACGTGAACAAGTTTTTGGACTTCATGGATTAGATGTGCATATTGACGAGCAGTCCCAGAACAACGATTTGGAAGAACATCTCAAAGTTCAACCATTAAAAAATTATCGTAACGATGAAAACTCGAGTAAAGATATTGAAGAAGATGAAGTATTAAATAAAAAATCGTATGAAAAGCAACGTTCGCCCAATAAAGAGCTAAATAAAGAAATTAATAAACAACCTTTGGATCATACTTTTTATAATAAGTATATTAATAGATATCCTGGAAATCGATATCAAAATATAAAACAACAATCCGTAAATACTCAACCGCATGATCAATATTTACATAGAAATCCTGATGAAGAGACTTTACAAACTGTCAAAGCAACGTATCTAGATACGTTTATTAAAGATCAAACAAATAAAATAAAATATGTCGATGATGTAGATACGACTAGAAATTTTAACGAATATAATTTAAAAACGCATAAATATTCTGATGAAAATATTGGTTTCGCCGATGGAAATATCCAAAATCAGGCAGTTAACGAGCAAAATAATAAGCATCGCGAGAGCTTACATATGTCCGATACACCTTTGGATAATCAAAATTTTGCAAGGCACCTCGTTAACCAAAATCCAAATACACACTTTAACGAAAAGTATAATAATAAGCAAACGTATAAACAATTCGATAAAACTCCGGACAATCAATACTACGATGAACGTTTTATTGAGCAAAATCTGGAGAAGCCTTTTAGTGATCAGCACACTAATAGATATTTGAATGAAAGAAATTTCGAAAGACATTCGGTTGGACAATATATCGAGGGGATTCTTGATGCTAATGTGCACTCCGATAGAAGGCTAAGCGATGAAAATTATGATAGGCGTGTTGTCAATAAAAATGTTGATGAATACAAGGAACCGTATTCCGATGACAAGTTGAACAAATTGCATTCTGACGAACATCTTGACGCGAGAAAGGTTGGTTTGAACATGTCATTTCTATTGTAAAAGTATTTAAAAAATTCAACGATTAAATTTCAAAAAATTTTTTTCCCCCCCCCCCCCCCACCCACGTTTAATTAAAATCTTTTATGAAGATATTAAGGTTCTTTTGCTTCAAGTAGATGCATAAATGTACGATTCACTTGATACTAAATTTGTTTTCAATTTAATCAGCAAATATTAACTTTTATAACTGAATCATTTAAACAATAACAAGGCAATGTTAATTTTATCAAATCAGCAAAGAGAATTTGTAAATTGAAGTGAATCATAAAATTTCATGAAATGTATCTTGCATAATGTATAGCAATTGTATGCATATCGAGTACAGAAAGGTGCCGTAAAACAATTATCAAATCGTTGTTGAAACCGTGTTTTGGGTTTCTAATTTTCAAAAATACCTACAGTTCAAATAGTTAAACCATTGGCATATTATTAATAGCAATAAGTAATTGAAATATCTGATCTGAAATAAGATTCTTTATGATGAGACAACGACGGAACGACGAAAGGAATCAAATGCCTCGCACCTGATGACACTTACATTCGCGAAAGACTGGGAAGAAAATACACCGAAACTTAATTTTCCGAAAAAACTTGGCCATGAGAAATATAGAATGACGACGTTGCACCTTGATCAAGGACTGTTTATTTTCGATTTCTTAAGGAGCTTTTTAAGATTCATTCAACCTCGTAACATTCCTTTGGGTGATATACCATTTGTTTTTAAAGCATTTTTTGTTTTTGTTTTGTATTATTAATTATTGAATTATATTTTTTCTAATAAACTAATTTAATATATCATAAATTATATTCATCCTTGAGACAATGTATTCGATAATCATGTTTTCTTACGTCATCATCATTAAACAATTAATTTTAACTGCCAATAAGCATATTTGAACAATATTTTTTTTATTTTTTTTTTTTTTTTTTCATAAAAATTGCCGTTTCCTAATAATATCACAGTACAATAAAGTATTTGATAAAATTTTTGGTAATTATTTATTTAAATATTTTTGAAAAATGTTTGCGAATACTTAATTTTCTATGAAAAACAATCCGAAATAAGCTTTATCGAGCGTGCGATTTAATTTATAAATAAAAATCTCAAATTAATCGTATTCTCGATAAAAAAAAATTTTTAATCCGCTGGCACTGACTATTAATTGGAACGAAAGATCTTTTAAAAGAGACTTTGGAAGGCCAAGTGAATATATCGACGTTGCTTGCGCAGGTGATTATTTATATATATATATATATATATATATATATAATATACTTAATTATTTATTATTTTATATTGTCATGCATGGCAATTTCATTAATTTAATTCAATACGACAATGACAATAATAAGAGGGAATGCAATTCTTTCGAATAAAAAAGTTTTATTTTCTCTTGATTTTTAATTTTTGAAATATATTGCAAAATTTTCGAACATTATGATAACTGTAGTAAATGCTTATAGTGAATCGAGTAGAAATGTTAAAAAAAAAAAAAAAAAAAAACTCAACATTAAACGCATGTTCATTTCTGCAGTCGATGCATGTAGAAATGGCATTCGTTGCTGTGATGTCAATTTTTATTGTATTGATGTTCATCGTTCCCGGTATTGAACTGTGGCTTTGTTGCCGAACGAACAAGTACAATTACCAACGGCAGCCACAACGTGGAAGCAAGCTATTATTCTTATCCATTTTCGCAATTATTCTGGGGTAAATATACAATTCGATACAGTTGAATTAACTATTATACTAAGTAATATTGTGTTTTGTATAATTGCTGATCATGGCCCGAAAAAATTTTCATAGAACAGAAAAAAACTAAAACATACGCACATTTCGATAATAAAAACAAATAGTATTTTTACTATCAATTATACTAACAAAAAAAAAATAAAATAAAAATAAAAAAATAAAAAAAAGAATAAAAAAAAAAATAAAAAAAAAAGCTGTTAAGGAAGTACATCGAATAATTTACAGGAAAATGTCCGGGGATAATTCATCGCGACCATCATGGACGCTAGCCTAAACATATATTCTGCACCACAAAATAAACATAAACGACCATTACAAGCAAACAAAAGTACATTACAATTCCTCTGTAAATGTCGGGTCGATGCTTAAAATCTCGCCTCTTTATAATTGACATAGGAATGGCGAGTTAATAGTTACCACTAATTGAAAATAATCAAAACTATAAATCTATGTAAAATTATAATAAAATGATTTATATAAAATTCTTAACCGTTTCTAATAAAATTTTTTAAAATAAACATAATACCTTTGATTATTTTTATCGGAGAATTAAAAATGTTCAACTTAATAAAATAACACGTTGAATGAAAAGGTACATTGCGTAATTATCTCGATCTTCGTGACAATTGATAAAGTAAGAAATAAAATTTATAATTAATTTATTAATAAAAAGATATTTAATACCATTAAAGTATTGGCAATATTTATTTTTGAGAACATTGCTGCAATGAATAAATGAATAAGTATGTTTGATATGTCATTCGATTAATAGAATTATTATTAGAATAAATATACGAATAGATATACAATGGGTATATCTTGTACAAATATCAAAATAATTTTAGAAATATTTATTTAATATAATATAATATAAATTTAATATAAATTTATTTATTGATTGAATTTTACACAGAAAATATAATGCTAATTATGCTGTATTAAAATATTATAATTAATGGCTATAATACATTTACTGGCACATAATGAATCATTAATATATTATTAAAAATAGTAATATTAATTTAGAGTATTGATATGTTTGCGTAATATTGTATTACCGATAATGTGAAATTACAAACAAAACTGCAAGAAATTCTATTCAACATTGTTCTCGAAAGTAATCCAAGTACGATAAATGAAAAAATTCACCATGAGAGATTACGACATAAGATAAATGCTATTGTGAAAATTTTATGCCAATTTATGAAAGTTTTGTTGAGCCGATATTTATGGATATAATTTTTATACAAACGATTTTCATTTTACTAGATTAATAATGTTAACAATGTCAATTGATAATGCTAATGTTAATTACATCTAATTTATATTATACGATTGTAGTGACAGATTTGTGCTTCCCTTACAGTATGTGCGTAATGACGATGCTGGTATGTAACGAGGAGGTGACCGGAGGCGTTGCCAGGATTCCTGATACCGTCGAAGCTGCTCTAGAGGACCTAAAAAATTATCATTCCAGCACAGCTGTACAATTGCGTAAATTTGTGACGCGGAGTCTCGATGTGGCAAGCGAGGCTATCCTTGCCGATTTGGATAGTGAGTTTTGCACATTTGTGTCATTAATTTCGTGTCAGCGAAATGTATTTTCTTCAGCAGTGATGAAATTAATCGATTACAATTGGTAGGTGATGGGAGGTCCTGTTAATACACTTAAATTTAAAAATGCAAATATCGCTAATTGTTGCATATCGCATTTAATTAGACATTTAGGTACCTACGTATTTCAGTAGCTTTCCGTTAAAAATAATTTTTATGTCGAAATTGTTTTCAAATAACTATTAATTATCGAGTATTCAGGAAAATGTTAATAGGGACGTTTTAATCCCGAATTGATGACGGGCACAATATATATGCCTAATAAATTTCAATAGTATTTGAATATTTAAAATGAATAAACGGGAAAGTTCGTATTCATCTAAACTGGCATTAAATCATAATCATAAAACTGCTATTAAATATTATTTTTATTATCTATATAAGTGCTGTGCTGTACTTGTCTAGATATTTTAAGACGTACTATGATAACATTACTATGAAATATCAATAATAATTATAGATATTATCACGGATAAACATTTCATTCTTACACATAGTGACGCACATATGGTATAAAACTGAAATGCTTAAGATTGTTATTTAGCCAATAAAAATACATAATTAGCATAGAAATCATTTGGTAAATGTAAATTTAGATAAGATATAATAGTTTATTTTACGTTTTGTTCAATTTGTCAGAGTATCTGCATTGTAATTATCGAGTGTAAATTCTTTCCAACAGCATAATATTTCTCAAAAATATAAATTCTTTTATAAAACGTATAACTGACAATTTCCATGTACATTTATGTATGATAAGAATTAAATATCCAATTACAATTAACGTACTATAAAAATTTATTAACTTTAAATATGTAACGTTAAAAATATTTTTTAATCACGAATCAAAATTTATAATTTGTACTGTAATCAATTTTCCACCTTTTAGATATAATTCTTCTATTTTAAGTTAAATAATTATAAATTATTCACTACAAAGAAATTGAATTTTTTTTTTAAAATTTTGAAATTTATATACTTTCTGTTTTCTTGTCGTTTTTCCCATTCCTTAACTCCAACACTTGTGCTCAAAAAACAATTTTTACAGAAAAAAGCGCACACAGGCCGGATTAAACGAAGCGGAATGAAATATAATTGTATATGGAGCATCTTGTTTGCGAATTTGCACACTCTTCTGTTTTCTTTTTGTTAACTCTGTACGACCGAGAAACGTATGATAAAAATACAAATACTTTTTCACGTCACTTTTTCTCAATTGTAATTTATTTACAATTAAAAATATTAAGGAAATTTATTATTAAATGGTAAGCAGCTGTGTGCAAAATAGAATATAAAGAACATTATTTATTTTGTTGAAAATATGTTGTTAAAATTGAATGAAATAATTTATTCTGTTTATTATCTAAATAATCTCATATTATTTAACATTTTTATCATTATCGGTTATTGTTAAACACGAATTTAGAAATAAATATGTATATATATACATATATATATATATATGTTTACACAAAAACATAAGATACTATTATTTAATAATAAATCAATATTACTTTCTAATTAAATTAATTATATTGTTTTACATACCAAACATCTATAATTCAATGTCTTTAATACATGCAATCTATTTAATATTAAACTCCAATTAAACATATTAAAAAAATAATAACGAATTATTATTTTATTATTTGAAACTTGTACAAAATACCATAAAGCGTTTTGGTTTCTCTATAAATATTTCTATAAATATATTTATACATAATTCTGCATTCGTTTTCAAATATTCAATTTTCAATTGATCTAAATCGTGAAAGGTTAAAAATATAAATATTAATATACTTCTATGTCGGAAATATTATAAAAAGTGGAGATATTATAAAAAAAATAATAGTTATGTATTTTTGCAAAATTGCTCAAATTTAAATGGTATTGAGATTATTACATTTTCATGATTAGTAATAGCGTGATAGCAAAACATAATAAACAAATAAACTTTTAGTCCATACCCGTACGTTATAATAATTAGATAAATACCCTAATTTATACAAATTTTGGATGCTATCACATATTCTATTTTCATTCAAAATATTGTATTACACGTAGATTCTTCTAATTGAATATGACAAGCTATGCTCAACAGTGGAAATTATACTACTAATATTATACTATTGCATTATTGATAATAATAATGACGCAACTACTCCAGTACAATGTAAACGGCATATTTAGTTTAGTAGAATATACATCGGAGGTGTTAAATAAACCAATCAATAAAATTAGAATTAACAGTACAAATGATTTTTTTTTTTTTTTTTTGCCTTGATACTTAAATATCAAGATATATAATTGGTTGCCTTTTACTGCCGAAGCTTTCCAATGTTTCCGGTTCAAGACTCCTCTCGCATATTCAGTTTCCCTTCGCATTCGTTACGAATCTCCAACGATTTATGCAATCATGGGGAAAATCACGCCCTTCACTACTGCTACTGCAGTTATTTCAGCCGGGTTTATTGGATTAATTATTCCAACATGATTTGAGATCAGAAAGATGGAACTCGGAAAATTTTTCAGTCCAGTGTATTTTGTTTGGTTTCAATACACGCAGTTCCAAAATTATTAATTTGCCTTACAGATAATATGATATACTTATACAATGGAGTATTATTCGTCCATTGATTTGTTTTAATTATCATAATTTCAATTCATTCGAATATAATTGATGCGAGGCTTTTTTCAACAGATAATGATGCTACTCGATTATATACTTAAATCTTATGTCTACAGGTCGGCAATTTTGTTAATAGAATTATAATTAGCATACATATATATATATATATATATATATATATATATATATTAATCCAATAATTATTAAATATTTATTAATTAAATAATAAATAAATGGAAACTTACATTTACAATATTATTTTTGCTTGATATATTTTAAAATTTTTCTCGCAAAACTTGAAAAAAAACAGGCTAAAATAACTATAAAATAGGCTAAAATAAAATTTGTCGTAATGTAACTTTTCATCGTTTTGTGAAAATTCAAAATACGTGACTTTCTATAAGTACATGGAGAATCATAAAGTAAAGTAGATTTTTTCTAATTTGCCTTGAACAATACATATACAAAGCTACGTGCTCTCATATATAATACAATTCTATACAGGTGTCTTCCATTATTAATGTGTACACATATAAACTATTATTATATAATGAAGATTAAACGCTATCCTCTGCGTGAAGAATTTTCTTAAAACATCGGATCAATATCTTTAAGAGGATAGATATAAAGGATAATAATTATCTGAATTTGATCATAAGAAAAGCTCGGAAAGCGATCGATTCAATATTAAAAAATATCATTTGAAAGTTACATAATTAACGTAGTATGTAATCAATCTTGAAAGGGCAATTAATTTTAAAGGGGCAATTTCTAAATTATTTATTCGAAAACTAAGGTGTAAATAAAAGTAAATGTTAATCAATACAATTGCTTACTTATATCTGTGAAAATTGTGCTATTAATGTATGCACAAACCATATTAATATAAATAGCATTATAGAATATAATTAATAATAATGATTTATTTCATATTAATGTGATTTGAAAATGTCTTATTATTTTGTAAATTTATTTAATTACGGATCTTTTTTATAATAAATATTTGCAAATAGATTCTCATGTATATTATACATGCAAAGCCAAACTAATAGAATTATGAAAACATATATATATATATATATATATATATATATAAACTACAATAAAGTAAAAAATAGATTAGTATAATTAAAATTAAATTAAATATAATATATATTAAATACAATCATTAAGAATGTTTGAAGTTTCATTAAATGCTTTTAACGTGAAGAAGAATATTCCTTTTGCGCAATAATGCACCACACACAACAGAATTAGTTTAACGATTATTTAGCCTTAGCTTTATTACGCAATATTTATTTAACAATATAAATATAATTTATATCAATATCATATATATATATATATATATATATATATATATATATATCAATATCTTTAAGTAAATATTCTTTTACAGACAATATATATTTTTTATAATCCGTGGGAAAAAAGCGAAAAATGAAACCACAAAAATAAATATTTTTAACAATTATTGAAATTTATTCATATACGTGGACATCATTTAAATATATCAATTATATTATATACAATCGCATACAAGTCGTAAAAAGATTATCTACAAGTACAAAAGAATACAAGCTATTCTTATACTTTTAAATTCGATGATGACAGATTTGAAAGGGTTGCAGCCTGTACTTACACATTGCCACTTTGTCTCACCTACGTAAGTACACCACGCAAGCGTGATACTCCGAAATGCAAGACGAGTTCTAATAACGAAAATACAGTGAAATTCAGTCGAATACAGCCGAATATTCACGGGGTAAAACGTTTCTATATACACGATAAGTGGCAGATAGGAAGGTCATCGTGAGGTCTTTGTAGGTTAATAGGCCAATCCATTGGCGCGAGAAGTTAATAAGTTGAACGGAACGCAGCCTCTTACTACTGAGGCGAGTGTCTGCAAGTCGCACCGATGGATAATTCATAAGTCGACTCATTTCGACTTTTTAGTAGGAGAAAAGGGTGAAGCTGAGCGAGTGCCATTGCAGCAAATTAAAGTTTGATTGATCCGCTAACGAGAGAATTTATTGATTTTCGCTTGACATCCCGACCTTATAATGATACATACTCGTGTCTTTTCGAATAATCAACCTCATACTTATCACACCATTACTCTCTGTACCATATTTACAGTTAAACTTAAAAACAATATTTTGTACTTTAATTTTTTTATTTTTTTTGTTTTTGTTTTTTTTTTTTTTGTTTTTTTGTTTTGTTTTGTAAGAGGAGTTATAGTTAAATTTATTACTTAGAATTAACGAATAAACATAATTTGATCATTCAATTTCAATTATTCATTGATCGATCAAATAATTTTATTACGAAATACCGTATTTTAAATTGATATGTAATGATCATATTATAGATTTCACATAGTCGTTTTATTAAATTAAATTTAATAATAAAATATATCATTAAAATAACGAATAATTGGAGTGATAGTCAAATTAAACAGTAATATTGAAGAAAAAAAATTAAAAAATTGTATTCTTCAAGAGCTATTTAGTTTATATTGTGAAATAAGTTTTAATCCTTTCAATTGCCTTAATATATCTTTATATTAACATATTAATTACCTTAATATACGAAAAAAATGCGTAAAATTTAGATTATAAAAAACGCTTAATTTCGTTCTATTACAAATTTCTATTACAAATGAGCTTGAACAAATAATTATTTTTATATTCATATTGATAATCAACATAGGCCATTCAGTCGTATATCTCACAACTAAATAGAAAAACTTATAACAACAATAATAGATGCATCATTGATTGAAAGGATAAACTTTTAAAAAATAGAATATTACATATATCAAATTAAAGTGCCTGTTAGATTTAATAATAATTGATAAAATTCCTTTCCGTGTCATTCAGATGTAGAGGAGCTATTGGGTAAACCAGTGCAGGACCTACTATCCTCGGAGATCGGAGCGGATGTTGCTTTAGATATGTTGATGGGCGTTGAAAACGGTGAGCTAATAAGAATTTTTCAGTATTTTAACTGAGTTTTTCATATTAATGAAACTTTCGTGTATTAATAAGTGTTTGATTGGGACAAATAATAATAGTGTGTTGTTGAATAAGGTGAAATTTGTTGGAATATAGAATTAAAAAATAATCCATAATTTGTATTAAAATAATAAGAAAAATGTTAAAATTACACGTAAAAATATTTTATTCTGAATCAAATAGACATTCGATTATATTATCCATATCATTTATAAACTAAATCAAAATTTCCATCGATACATACAATTTTATTATTAAAAAATTGTGTATAACATTCAAATACGATTGATCGTATTTTAGTTTAAAATATTCTTATAGACTATAGAAGCTCTAAATAATTTATGAATATTTACATAATATTTATTTTACATTTTATTTTATACCAATTACTATATTAATTCATATTAAAAACTATTTCATTTTATAAGAAAACTTAATTCATTTTTAAGTGAGGTATTATTAAATTTAATTGTAATAGCTCTTAATTTAGCTTTGATTTACTATTTTTTTACACTTTACGTATACTTACTATTTATTTACCTTTTTAATCCAAAGTTTTTGATGTTTTGCTTTTCATAGAAAATGGTATACATAATAATTACAAGTTTCATATTTCAATTTTATTTTATGACTTTCTATATTAATATCAATCATGCGTTCAAATTAATATTATACGTCCGATTTATATTTCATTATGCCTCTCCAATTTCGAAATCAAAGTTATCGATAAAGTTTACTTCATAATTGATTACGAAGCAAAAGCAATGATGATTCCACCTATGAGAAATTAATAACGTAGTATGGAAATGTCGTCTAGAAGTTCAATGTTAATATTTTCCCTGGACGACATGTTCAATATCCATATTACTTGAAATTTTAGGAATGCTAAACTTGCATTTATTGCTCTATAAATGACATATCAAATATGATAAATTCTTGTAAGTGCAATTATTACATAATTTAGTGTTCGTTAAAGTTGAGACAAATTTGCAGATGTATTAATAATCTGATGAAATATCTCTGATTTATTGATTAGAAATAAACTGATTATAATAAATTTCATACTATATAAATGAATTTCTTATTAATTTATTCTTAACAATTTTTGTGAAAAAAAAAAAATAAAAAAAATAATGACAATTTTATGTTGGTATTTTTTTTCAAATAAAAATTATATATTAAATAAAATATGAAATAATGAAATAAAAGTAAGAGAATGGAATAAAATTTGTATTTTATTTATAAAAAAATAACCTTTTAATATACTTTTGTAATTTAAAGTTCTTTATAAAAGTTTAATGTTATCGGAAAATATTATTTAAAATAATTTATTATAAATATAAAAGATATATAATGAAAAGCAATAATATTAATATATTTATATAACAGCATATGCATAAGAATAAATTACGCACAATATTTATAGACTTTACACTTTTCATTTTATAAATTATTATTTTTCGTACTGGATTGTTCATGTTCACGCACGCGAGCTCGTATGTGTCAGTATCATATGTATAATTATATTGGATATTTATCTTTAAGTAAAGTTCAATTTAACAAAGAACACTCAAATCCGCTCTGATATTGTCAGCTGATGGTCATGAGGTCATTACGACATGGATTAAAACAAGATCCAAAGCGCATTTATTCACATATTCGTAACGAGACATAGTTCAGGTAAAACGGGGCTTGCAAATTAGTTTAATTAAAGGAAGCCCCAGGAGCTGGGAAAAGCAGTTTCACGTGAGAGAAGCAGATACAGTCCTCGGACCTACTGCTTTACCAACATTGTATCTCTGGTGTGTCTTTCTCTCTCTCTCTCTCTCTCTCTCTCATTTCTCTCCTCCACTTCCTTCCATGTATTTTCTCGCATTCTTAAATACTCTCTTTCTGAACAAAATTCTTAATTCTATCTTTTACATAAGAAATAAAACTGTTGAATAATCGTAATAAGGAACTTAAAAAGTATTACGTAATTTTTGTTTAAAATTACAGATAAAAATTTGTCAACATTAATTAAAGAACAAACATAAACATAACATTTTCATTGATGTAAATTGATGTAACTTAGAAAGGCAAATGCTTATTGATTGTAGTTTGTTAAAAATTTAGTAAAAATTAAACATTCCAATGAATCTACATGCATACCTTTTAGCATTTCCAGGAATATTTCTATAGTTGTAAATTTTTGTGCTTAACGTATTGATAAGTATAATGAAGGCATACGGGAATACATAAGAATAAGAATTCAGAAATGAAATAGACATTTTTCTATGTAAAATGATCGTAATATAAAAATAATATTATTCAAATTTCTAAATCTCAACGTTAATACATATAATCATTCTGAATAAAAATGAAATGATGATTGTAAGTAAAAGAGATATAACTAAATTTTATAAGATTCTAGACTAAAAATGAGCTTTATTATTACGACAAATTACTATTGATTTATTGTTTCATGCCGTGTCTGTGAAAATAAAAATATATTTATATAATCCTTTCACATTTAATTAAAAAACTGTTAATTAATGTCATTCATTCTAAAGATACTTCCGTTGATTATCATAACAATAAAAATACATCATATTTTTATGAACATTTACACGGTTGTTTTCAGAATATTTATTATTATATAGGAATATTGCTTTGAACTAATATAACATTCAAAATAACAACAAAAAATTACTACTTTTCTTAATGATTCATCCTTAATAATAAGATTAATATCAAGTTTACCGATATAAAATTCTATTGAATGTTAGAAAATACTTTCGTTATTATAACCTATGGTATAATTGTGTAATTTACCATTATAGTGACCAATATAAAATGTTTATAGTATTTTGTTCTAATAATACGAGAAATATTTAAAAGTTATCCCGGATATATAAGATTAACTTTAAATAAAGCAACATGTTGGATTCATAATTTTTAAGAGTAATAAATTTTAATAAATAAAACTATCTACAATTTCTTAGACTATTAAAAGATAATTAAAATGTATGATCATGTGAGTTAATTACTGGTAAATTTTATCTAAAATTGTAACAAATAGATAAAGATTATTGTTAGATTACATAGATTTAGTTTAAATCGTTTGAAAAATGATTAGCAAAGCCACGGCACAATAATTATTAGGAATCTACATTTGTTTGTATCACTAAACGAATATTCGGTTTAAAATAGTCACAGTAAATGTGAAAAATATTATTTCAATATTTTAAATTAATTATATATTTGATCCACTAATTATAAAAAATATTATTCGAATCATGGTCTAATATATCATGGTAATAATTTTAATAAAAATCTAGAATGTTATCGTTGATATTAAATTAAATAAAAGAATTTATATATCTGTATTATATTAAATAAAAATATATCAATTTTCTGATCGTATAATTAGTTAAAAAATCTAACTGAAGAATAATTGTGGTTAAATAGAAAAATTAAACCAATGTTCGTTTAAAAAATATTTCAATTTGAACATATTATAAATAGAATTTTAAACTCATTAAAAAAATATCTTGTTGCTTACAATTTCAAATGTATTTCGAATTTACTTCATGCGGCACACATTGTTTAAAGTTATTTGAGAAAACGATTTAAAATGTATGATACAATTTTATTTGAATTCCATTGTTTTTCCACTGAATAAGAATTCATAGAATTTCAATGAAAATAAAATGCTTAAAATTAAGATTAAATTCAACAAAAAAAAAAAATTTTTCGTAAAAATAGTTTGTAGTAGTTTATACCTATGATATTTGCTCATTTTTAATATCTAAATGCAATTTAAAATAACAAATTAAAAAATTATTCACATTGCGAGAAATGTAATGAATAAAAGTCGTATTACTCTCTATATCATAGAATATTCAGTTATGAATGATAAATAGCTTTAATAATTTATTTGCTCATTAGTCTTGTCACGATGCTTTTATTAATATTTATAATATTTATAAATAATGTTCATCACGACATCATTGATAAATCAGCATTCATTAATCGCAGAATTAAAAGTGTAAACAGATCGTATAATTGATTATTTCAAATAACTTCGTCAAAAATCTCTCGATTCTTAAATTTTTCGGAATTTAATATTTGTAATAGAAGTGAAATAAAAATACTCTATAGAAGAATTCTAATACGATGTATTACTTCATTATTGTTAGCTTCATTATTAAATCGATAATTTGATCGACAATATCAACACTTACGTCTCTCCTATTCCTCTAATTCGTCAGCTATTGTGGTGAGAATCCGTGAGACCTACAAAATTAAATTTCATTCGATATTTAGTTACTTAATAAACATATAGTTGCGTCGGGGCTGATGTAAGTATATCCGGTTTAGCTTGTCGAACGTCCAGCATAGTCGAATGATCTACCTCGAGGCCGAACTCCCTGTCTTTTCCTATCTTTCTCTCCTCCCCTTCGTTGTCAATTCTAGAACATCACTTAGTCGCGGTAGCAAGTTACTAACTGAATATTAAGTGAATTAGTGGTGCAGGCGAGTTAACGCTTCGAGAGATACTACCTTTTGAATTTTTTTCACTCATCTCGTTACCCCAGGCGTTTATTCACGTTTATACCTGTACTTTAACCTCCTTTATCCTCGATACTTCTCTACTCTTTATTGTGCTTTTATCGTCAAGAGCGTTGTGGGCACTTTTTAACTGTCATAATCTTTGCCGTTAGTACATTGTTTTTCTAGTAACGAGTCATTCGTGGACAGTCTTCTTTCATTTTCTACCGCGGTAAACTTAATTTCATTCCCCTCATAAAGGTATTTTGTCAATGAACATTTTTTTTAGTTTTGCGTGCCATAACGGTTTCTCGTGTTGCAGTTAATAATTAGGACTATGGAGTTTAATTGATTTAAATGTATTTAAATATCATATAATGATAAATACGTTTATTTTAATTTATTATTAAAAACGAATGAATTAACTGAAAGTAATTAATTGCGTAAAACTGTATAATGAATATTATTCTTATTAAAAATTGTGTGGCATGACGGATTAATCGAATGACTTGTCAATATATACGTAATTAGTAGTATCTATAATAATATTGTAAGCTAATTTATTCAGATAAATGCTTACCTAACAACATAATACTAACTATTGAAGTGTATTATAAAGTAGTTAACTTTGATAGACTTTTAATAAAATTATTCAGTGAAGGGGGTTTAATGTTTAATGTTAACTTCATTGATACGAATCTTTCCATTTGTATTGAATAATACGACTGTACATTTATAGAGTTTAGCTAAAAATGAAATATTACAATTAAAGACACGTTGAATAAACAATTTTAACCATTCACCGATGCATTTCAGTCATTAACTTTTACTATTGGAAATAATATACTCTGTGTACTACATTCATTTATAGAATCAAGAATTTCTAAATCTTATGCAAATAGTAAGTAGCAGGTCTAAAAATTTAATGATATTAAAATTATGTTAATATAATAAAATGTAATAATATAATACTATTGAAAATATATATTTAAGATATATAGAATTAATTTTGAAGAAAAAAGAAATATCATATAGAACATTGTTTTTTATTATTTTGTCATCGAATATTAATTAACCCATACATACAATCTATTAATCTCATGGTTAACATTTTCCTTTAGTATATATAGATAACATCAGAAAAAAATTATTTACCGTTATAAGCATTTTCGAATGTTCAATTATAAAAATAGGTATTAAAAAAAAAAAAAAATTTTTTAATTTTAAATAACAATGTAAAATAAGGGATTTAAAATATTAAAAGAAAAGCTGTGTAATGGTGGCTGTGCGTAATAGTAATGCGATTTTATTCCTGTTTTATCTCAATCACCATCCAATACTTACATCTTATAACGACGAGTCTAGTGTTAATTAATGTAAATCTCATAAAAGAACTTATTAACCACAGTGTCAATGTGATTTACGAGTAAATAATGTTAATATTTAGCCATAAAACTTTAAGGATGTAGGCGCGTTAATAACAGTAACTTTAAATTTTTCCACTAAATCAACAGTGCATATATAGTAGTATAAGAGACTCGATTATGACTGTGTACCGTAAAAGTCAGAGTGAATATTAAATTGAATTTGCTCTATCGGGTAAATTTCTAAAATTTCCTTAATTCTCTTCATTACATAAATCAAATTTGATTGTATAACATAAATAGCTCGTTTTGACGTTTAATAATTATAAAATTCAATTTTATCAATAGATTGTCTTTATATAGATATAATTTTTTATTTACATACCTAACAAAATATTACAATGTAAATTTAAATATTATTAATAGTTTGTTATAAATATATATATATATATATATATATATATATATATATATATATATATATATAAATTATTAAAATAATTATTAAATGAATTGTAAGAATAATAAATAGTAATAATAATAATAAAGCTTGTAATAAAAGAAATTATAATGGATATAACGAATATTCGTGAGAAGACTATTATTTAGAAAAAGTTTGCAAAAAATTTACTCAAAATTGGAATAGACTAATATTGGCCAAATTATTTTATTTATGACCTCAGCTTTGTTACCCACACTTTAATAATCTTTTTTAATATCGAACACTCCAAATCCATGTCCATAAACATGAGGAATGAATTAGTCTATCAAAAGCTTATACGGTAAAAATTATTTTAATAAATGAAATAATATAATTTATTTTGTTCTTTTTACTCGTGAAATTTTTACAATTATTAATATTTGAAAATAACTAAATCTGAATTACACTTAACGCTCAGATATTGATTATAAATTAATACTTAGCATGTTTTTTGATACGTATACAATTTTGATAATCTATTATTTGGAATAAATTCCTTAATTTTATATTAAATAATACTTCAATTTCATTCCTTTTCATTGACATTTGTATAAAAATGTAAATGATTAATTCACAACATAAATATCTAGTCGCGTCGAGCATTATAAAATTATGGTTTAATTTTTTCTGATATATCGTAAGAGTTATAGGTATGACGTGCATTCGTTTATAAGAAATTTCTAATACGACGACACCTCTCATAATCCTTTAAACACGTACGTATCATTAAAAAAATAATTCTTTGAATTTATAACACAAAATTTATATTATGTAAATAAAAAATAAATCTCACTTAAACATGCTGAAAATGTAATTGGGATTTTTGAGATTACGAGCTTTGATAAATTCCGACATCCGTCGAATAAATCTAATAATATACCTTTCTTATGCAGCTACTTAACATTACGTTTTATTCTCGAGAGAATAAAAGTAGAACTTGAGATTTGTAACCGTTTTTAGTCACTATAGTCTTATCATCCTACATATATGATATTTTAAATTGAAAGATATTCTTAGTTAAATAAAAAAAATAAAAAAACACACAAAACTAATGTATAAGGTGACGAAGGAAAGTGAGAGGTTTGCAAGAAATTTTACATGGAATAATGAAGCTATTTCGCGTTAATTACACAAGGTTTCATCGAATACGTAGTTATAACAAGGACTTAAGAGCTTAAGTAAAGGCCGTCATTAAGTCTCATATTAAACGTACGAAAGCTGAAAATATTGAAAATGTCAACTGTTTGACGCTCTCTATATAGCCTCTCAGGAACTTGCCTACAAGACGGACAGCGTACTACTGCGGGCGGAACGGGCCCGTGAATTTGGCAGCGAACTGAGTCAAGAAGCCAACGAGATGAGGCGCGAACTCGAGAGGACGAGCAGGGACTGCGCCCCGGAGGATCGCTCGCTCTGCGCAGTCCTTGACCCTTCGGGATTGCACCTGGCGCTCAGGCTCGATAGGGTGAGATTCCTTTAATTATTGTCTCGGTAGCCTTTTACTTGTCTTTCATTTTTTTTTCCTTCTTTTTTTTTTTGTTCTTTTATTTTGTTTGCGTTTGCTTTCATAGAAATATCGATTGTATGGCTAAGCGCATGGATGACCAAATTGTTAAAGCTCAACGGCTGCTGGTTATTAACGATTAAATAATTTAGTTGTATTAAGAGAAGTTGCCCACTTGGGGTTTCGAGATTGGGTCGTATCTTTACGTTTCTTTGAAATGCGATTCAAAAATTCATTATTGGCCAATACTTCGCACGAGCAGTCCCTTCGCGCGTCTCGGTAAATCGATGCCAAATTTACGATAACTCCGACCTTTTTTAAAACTTAAAGGACTTGTGACTTTTCATTTAAATTCTGTACTTTTAATCCAATGAAGAAATTAATGTACAAAAAAAAAAAAAAAAAAAAAAAAAAAAAAAAAAATATGTTTTTAGCGAGTTTAGTAGTTTCTAGAGAGTTCTTACGTTAAATAATCATATTAATAATAAGTTTAAGCGATCGTTGTGGAAATCAATATAAAAAAATAAGCTTGTTTCATTATCTTTTAAGAATTTGAAAAATAATTACAATTTCATTAATAAATATATCGTTCCTTTATTTACGTTTATATGTTTATATCTCTAATCTTCAATTCTCTATATCATGTATTAGAAAATATATTGAAAACGCTTGCTTTCTCCATTTGTTCGACAATTAATATATTCTTGAAATGATTTATTGAAAAAATCAAACTTAATTGTAATATGTAACGAAGCTCTTCACATAAATGTTACATAAAGTTTAGAACAAAATATAAAAATTCTGATATACTTTAAGTACTGTATCGAAAGTTTCTGGAAAGCTTTGAAAAAATATTACTAATAGTAGATTGGCTTCATATGATAGATCCAAACATCATTTTGATCAGTAAATAGGCCTCCTTTATTAGTAATAATTTTAAAATAAGGAGCCAGATAAAAATAAATTTTTTTGATAAATGTAAACTAATTAACATAAGATATTTATGAATATAAATTTACTTTAATAACGTTCTATTAATAGTACAATTAATTCTATAATTAATATCATAAATTGACTTAAATCGGTATTAAATTTCTATTTAAAAACTTAAATAATTATTTGTTAGCTTTATCTGTACATTAATAAATAAATGATGCAAATTGTCAATTATTGTTGTAGCTATCTTCTTAAAACATATAATAACTTTTTTAAACTATTAAAACACTCTGCTCCTCAATATTATCTAATACGTCAGTATATTCGATCGTGATTTTACTAAAGTGAAATTTAAAATAATATTTTTAATAATGCATATCCATTTTTATTCATACTTAATGCAATCGTTTAAACCTCAATCGTAACGAGTTCGGAATTTGAGATAAATGGATATATATTAATAAAACGTCAATAAATTTCTTAATAAAAGGAAAGTTATTTAAATTCTAAACATATAGCAAGAATAGAAGATATATAAACAGTTATAAAATATTGTCATGAAATGCTAATTATAAATATTAATAGATTCAAACACTATTTAAACTCGGATAAGTCGAAAAAAAAACAACCATAATAATATGCCTCATTATTCGTAATTAACTCTCCGTTATGAAATATCGCAATATTGTAAAAATGATAAAAATGATAAATCCTTAAAATAATGAAAAGATGATATAGAATTTCCGATGCCCAATGAAAGTCGATTTTCATATTCTCATCACGAGATACGTATACAACTTTCTCGGGGTATATTCGATAAGTAGGTACTTTGAAGCTCTGTACAATCTCTCTCAATGATACCGTCATTAAGGGCCATCATTACGATATGCACTGTATAAAAATCGAATGAGATTCTTGGAAGAAATATTGGGATTTTTCGAACGCTGTAAAGTCGAACGGAGGATGAATTATAAGAAGCTCGCGAAGTATTCGCGTCCGTCATTCTGGAAAGTATAAATGTAGGGGACGTTTTATCTTATAGAAAAGTACACGCTCATCTTAAAAAAAAATCGTCGTACTTGGAGTAGTAATCTTCATAGCTAGCTGAGATTCAGATTGTTTATAAATTTTTCGTTATAAAAAAATCCTTATCTTTTACTTCTTCCGAATATATATATATATATATATATATATATATATATATATCATTCGTGAAAAACCTAACATCTTCGCTAATTAATTTATATATAATCGTGTTAAAGATCTTAAGATTCTTGAAACTCATTCTATTCGCTAAATTGGAAATGAAAAAAAGGTATGATTATATATTAATTGAGTATTCATACGATACAGAGCACCGTAAGAAGTAAATAATAACACGAAAAACTTCTCCATATTTAAAAAATTTAATGGCATTTCTTCGGATGCTTTTTTTGTTATTGAGAAGGAAAATTAACAAGTTCCAAGTATCGTTTAAATAAGCTGTATAAATGTATATATATATATACATACACGCGCGCACACACGCACACACATTTATATATTCATAAGTGTATATATTTCTTTTTTCTTAAAATATACGTAAGAATTTTTAATAATAAAAAATACATAAAATAATTTGATGATATGTCTAATGCATTCAAAATGTCCTACAATTTTTATTTAACATCTTACATCTATCATGTTATATTATACTAATTATCAATTTATCTAATGTTCAACAAGAAAATTGACTATTTCTTGCGCTGTTTTCTTGCGTCGTTTTTCGAATAAGAAAGTATTTATTAGTTTTCATATAAATGTCAATCTAAACAATCAAATCCTTTGAGTTCCAACAGTTTTGAAAGCCTTTCCTATTATTGTAAAAAATAATTATTAGAGAAAAAAAACTTGTAGCTCCGTATCTTCATACGACATTAGTAGTTTAAAGTATAAATAAATATTTTAACAGAAATATTAATAACAATGTACTTCAAATCGTTAAAAAATTTTTTTTCATTATTTCTTAAAATTAATAATAATAATATTTTAAACACAGGCATTTAAGAACGTGGTTAAATCATTAAATTCCGTTTTCTCGTTTCGTTAATTACAGATAGCTCGTGATGATCGACTACTTAGACTGAGATCAGCTGGGCGAGACAATTTGACGGAATCAGTACGACAAGCTCGTGGCGAATACCTTTATATTCCACAACATGTCTCCAGAACAACATTGGAAGCGCGAAATCGTAAATATTTCTTTTCTATTACAATGGTTTGAAATTTTCCTACCAGCTTTATATAGTTCTTTCCAAGTTTTATAAATTTGTTAATAGCATGATCACACTTTTACAATAAATGCAAGAAAAATATTTTTAATTATTAAATATGAATCTTTGATGAAAATTAGTGATTCATTTTTTTTTTTTAAATTTTCAACAATTTTCTAAACGAACTTGTTATTTCGACATTATTAGAGAAATTAAATCAGAGGGAGAACAAAAATTTGTCTCATCATTATTTTCTCCCAACGACAATTAATGAAACAATCACTCTGTACCAAACATTATTTATGCTCGATATACATGACAGAGACAACACACTCTAATGTTTGTTTGACTACGATCTTTTCGATTCAGTAATCTTATGGTGCTATTTGATTATTCATTCAACTGCCTTTTTGCACTATAATTTGTAATTGAAAAGTATAATTCAAAAGCTCTTCTATTTTATACGAAGTAGTTTCAACAAGATAGATTATTCCATGTTGAATAATACTACAACATCATCTCATTTAGATGGGTTTTGAAAATGATTAAATCTGTAAATTTTGTAAATTTTATCGAAGAATTTCATTATATAACGTACAGTGAAAATAAAGTCATATTTATATAATAACAATAGTATCAATTTGTAAATATCATATTTATTTTCTCGGCAATTTATATTCCCATTATTATAAATTAACAATTTTCTATCGCTACGATATTATCAAATCATATATGAATCAATCAGGGTTTCTACAAAAAATTAAAAAAGAATATTTTTATTGTAATGCAACTGTATTACAATGAAACTGTATTGCAATGTATTATCGAGATATTTTAAATAGATAATATTTTATACAAAGATTATTTATAAACTCGAAAATTTAAAGAAAAGTATCTGCTGACTTGATTGTACCTTTGTCCGTACTCCTTTGTTCTATTGAAAAATTTGCAATTCTACGACGTTGTTCATTAACTGTCACAAAGGTACCCCAATGAATAATAAAAAAAATTCAACATTTATTTATCAATCTCTTGTTTAAATCTTAATAGTGGCTCATAAATATAACTGTACACATAGCTGATCCTTCTCAAATACCGATCATACAGCATAACAATTTGCCAATTTCGCTGTCCCCAACTCCCAAGTCCGACTATGGCAATAAAACATTGGGTTCGTTGGCTTATCCATGCGCACGCGATATGAATAATAAATAATAACATTATACGGCACAACGTGCAATAACGCCTAATCAGGTCCCAATGACATAGAAATACTATTTACTTATTTCGGAATCATTAGCGGTAGAATATGAAAATGAATTAGTAAAGTATACGTAGACAATTGATTTGATTACTTTTTATTTAATATATAGATACGGCACTCCATGGGATACTTGCATAATAAAGAAATAATTGTACTCATTATTTCAAATAATGCTTCTGTCTTTTTTCTTCTCTCTTTTTGCAATTAGCATTAGATCGGCAAAACTTAAAAATTGATACGCACTTAATCATCTTATTAAGATTAAATAGTGCATCCATATTTATTTCAAGGCTTATAAAAGAAATATAAAAGATGTAATTTCTACTGAGCTTGATTCATAAAATTAAGTATACATTTTATTGGTATTTTTATAAATACCAAATGGTAAAATAAAAAATCAATCGCGACTTTCAAGTACTTCTAAATTATATTTACGTAAAGTTAAAGTAAAACTATTATTATTATTATTATTATTATTATTATTATTATTATTGTTATTATTAAAGTTTTTGGATAAAGAATTATGAAAAATACAAATAAATGTGAAAATTATGGAGGAAAAGAAGCGGTAATATTATTACTATGAATAATAAATTATTTTAAATATCCCACCTCTTTCGTTTCAGCGCTAATTAAAAAAAAAAAAAAAAAAAAAAAAAAAAAAAAAAAACATATTTTATACACTATAATAGCTATATAAATACACTATTATACAGATATAGAAGAAAAAAGCCTCTTTGTATTTCATCGTTAAAATATTTGGAAAATCTTATGATTTGGGCTCGTGTAAACGACGCGAGAAGTTTTGCCTGACGAATGAGAAACAACTCTTATATACACATTTATCACGTTAACACGATAATTTTCACTTTCCTCACACGCGTATATCTATACGATCCCCCTTCCCATTTCACATCGCTTTTTCATTTTCCTATAGCACATAACCCTCACATTTTTCTTCTGCTTCAGTCTATACTTAACATCTTCGTTTCATCCGGGTACGAATCTATTTCTCTTTCGCTTAGCCACAAGAGCACCAATAAGAAGAGTCGACAAGTGGGAGAGAAAAAGTTGGTAAGATAGACTAAAGCTAATGTGAAATCCATATTGAATTACGTTCACGTACATGAATATAAAGTGGAAGAGATGAACAAAACTAAAATGAACAAAACGACGCATAAAAGAAACGGCATAGTAAATCGTATGAAACAGGATGAGATTCTGATTTTATGAAATATTCTGGCAAAACGCTGTATATACTTATATATACATATGTAGGTAATTTACTTTTAATTCATATTTATATGAGATATTATTACTTATCGTTGTTGCATTTACTATATTTACATTGACATATAATACATTGACGATGAATATATGTGAAATGCGAAACTAATTTGGATTTTGTAATAAAAATTTTGTTTACCATCATAATGTGAGTGTATGAATCCCATAAAAGGCGTATAATTTTTCACTTATTTATAATAAAATCACTTTAGTGGAATATATTACATACTGATAACTAATTATATTAACTAATTTAGATTAAATATAAATGATAAATCTATATTCACAAAAAGTATAATAAATAGTACTTGTCGATATGCAATTTTTATTAAATAAAAATATATTATCATTGTTGGAAAAACGTAATGTACTTTTAGTTATTAAAATTATGATAAGTTTCGAAAAACTTATCAATGTATGTTTTTCTAAATAAATAATGCCAAGTTTGATTCCATTCATCATCGATACATTCCAATAGAATTTTTAATCATACAAATTACTTTGATTTTTGTAGTTTTGTAATAATCATATATATATATATATATATATATTGCAATTTACAATTAATTGTTTAAGAAATAATAAACATATAAACCATTAAATATGAAGATCAAAGGAAATTATTTCTTGTAACTAGTTGCACCTATATTAGAAATATTAGGTATAGAAGATTTCGTTTATTATAAAAATTGAAAGGCGCTGCTCAAGAGACGTGCCGTCGTCGTTAAATCATCGACAAAATATTATTTCATTATTTCTCCCTCAATCTAAGTACTTATTCTTCTTATAGCTGACTTGGATAATACTCCCTCTCTTTTTTTCAATCTAAAATATTGTGTGATAAACTAAAATATGACGAACATTCGTGTTATATTTCCATCTAACCTTTGTCACGAGTTGCAATTTAAATTTCCACCAGAGCTGTTGGCATCTTTCTTTCTTTCATTTTTCCTCTCTTTTGCTTCAACCAATTAGTAACAATAACGAATATTTAAATATACAAAAAGGTTAAGACATTTAAGAATGTTTCATATATTCAAATCACTTCAAAATACGAAATTTTTAAACTAGTTTAACTCAAAAGTAGTAACTAAAAACTTTAAAACCTTTATACTAATTTCGCAATTGCTGCGTTTGTCAATGACACAATTGTTCTTCATTTAAAGAACAATTATAATTATTCTTAAAGAAAATAAAAATAAGGGATAATAAATACATTATATACTTTTATAATATTAACTCCTCGAATACTATTTAATATTAATTTGCAAAATGATTGTATTCGCTTACAATTCAAGTTATACCAAGTGACTATGAAATTGATCAATTATACTGAAATTGATCAATTAAATTAATTACAGAAATGCTTAATAAACATTAAATCCCATTCAATTTGTATTGTCAAAAGATTTAAAGAGGATTCATAAGTGAAGTTTATATTTAATATGTCGTAGTGATTCGTCGAGAAATAAACACAGCACGAGCGAAAGTATCCGATGACACTCGAATCATTGAGGTAAGCGACTCGGACATATCGAATCAATTGGAGAAAGCAGAAAAGCTCAGTAGGCAAATTGTTCCATATATACGTGACTTCGAGAATAGGAGATGGATCGTTGGATTTGGTAAGGATAATCGTTGTTTTATTTTAATCCTCGCTATACGATATTAGAGTGTTATATAACGCATATTTACTTGTATATATGTATATATGTATATATTGTACATAGAGCGTTATCTGATCCGTTTTCTCGCAATTTCCAATTAATTATTTTATTATGACATTTTATTAAATTTTAATTAAAGAAGCGATAGCTTTTATACTTTTTCAACACCTTTTATACAAAATTAGTTCAATTATTAACACTTGGCTGTACATGTTTCAGTATGCATGTAGATTTGAAGTATCGACGTTGCTTAAGATACGGACAAATAAATTATCAATAAAATTATTAGAATTATTATATTTGTGTATAACTATTAAAATTACTGGAAAAAAAATTTAAAGTTCACGATATACTGATATTGTTCTTGCGAATTCGTTTGTACTTTTATGAAAAATTTATTTGTGCTGAATTTTCCAAATTTTATATAATCACAAATCATTGGTAAATATTTGAATATTAAATATTCCCAAATAAAAGTCACGCATATACAATAAAAAAGGATTACTATTTATTTATAAACTTGATCTAGTTAACATTTAATTATATATATATATATATATATATGTATATTACCAATTGAGAATATAGCGGAACATTTCTTAATTAATTTCTTGTAACAATTTTAATTTTACGCAAGGTGAAGAAGACTTTAATTTTACCAGTCCATATAACTTAAAATTTCTTATTTTAAAAATAGAACAGCTTCTCGAAGTTTTCATACTCTTACTATCTTGATATTTAAAACTTTGTAGAACTGTTTTCTTTGACTGTAGTTCGATACTTCATCAATCTTCAAAATAATATTCTATTAAAATAAAATGTCTGGATAAAATATAGATAACAATAAAATATTTTTTATTGAGTATCAATTTTCTTAAAATAAGTTTTTGACAGTAGTGCAGAAATTTTTTCTCTTAAATAAAATACACCAATCCTCATTAATTCATCGTGTTAATTAAAGTTTTCGATAAATGTTGGATTTTTTAATTCTTTATTATATGTGTGTGTGTGTGTGTGTGTGTGTGTGCGCGCGCGCGCGCATGCGCTTATAAATGTGTGTATCAATGCGTGTATCACTTTCAGTCGTAATAACGATACTTTTCGTGCAGGTATAACCATGTGTGTACTGTTCATCTGGTTGTTGCTGTTGGGCGCATTATGCTGTCGATGCGGATCTTCGGAGAATAAAATGCGATCGACACTTTTATGGTAAACGAAGGAAAAGTTCGAAAAATATGAACAGTTTTCGTATTTTATAGGATTGCTGGTCATTAAGTTCTTTGACAGAATATGCCAGAGATGCGCCGCTGACACCGGCATCGGCCAAAATGAAAATGAACGAATCTAACTAAAACACTTTACTCTTACTTACGCGAGATGAAATGGTATTTAGGCAATGAGAAATAAATTGAAAGCATTAAATATGGATTAAAATTAAATTAAAGTAAATATTGATTTATGTAAATTTGCAAATATCAATATTGCTTGTATATATAATATTGGCTTATAGGAAATCCAGATTGATAGATTATTAAGTATAACTTAAGTGTTATTAGATAAAAATGGTTGTACTTGACTACTCTATCGATTATACTTTTTATGGGTTATGAATAAAAACAAATATTCTCCAAGATGCAGTGCTAAAGGATAAGTGCATAAGTAATTTCGTAAATAATTAAGATGACATATCTTTATAAAATATACCAGAATGTATACAGGGAATTTATGTAAAGAGATAATAATAATAATAATAATAATAATAATAATAATAATGATGATGATGATAATAATAATGATGATAATAATAATGATAATAATAATAATGATAATAATAATAATGATAATAATAATAATGATAATAATAATAATGATAATAATAATAATGATAATAATAATAATGATAATAATAATAATGATAATAATAATAATGATAATAATAATAATGATAATAATAATAATGATAATAATAATAATGATAATAATAATAATGATAATAATAATAATGATAATAATAATAATGATAATAATAATAATGATAATAATAATAATGATAATAATAATAATGATAATAATAATAATGATAATAATAATAATGATAATAATAATAATGATAATAATAATAATGATAATAATAATAATGATAATAATAATAATGATAATAATAATAATGATAATAATAATAATGATAATAATAATAATGATAATAATAATAATGATAATAATAATAATGATAATAATAATAATGATAATAATAATAATGATAATAATAATAATGATAATAATAATAATGATAATAATAATAATGATAATAATAATAATGATAATAATAATAATGATAATAATAATAATGATAATAATAATAATGATAATAATAATAATGATAATAATAATAATGATAATAATAATAATGATAATAATAATAATGATAATAATAATAATGATAATAATAATAATGATAATAATAATAATGATAATAATAATAATGATAATAATAATAATGATAATAATAATAATGATAATAATAATAATGATAATAATAATAATGATAATAATAATAATGATAATAATAATAATAATAATAATCAAATAATAATCAAACTTTAAGATGTCGATAAATTGATTCATTAATTCATCATTGATAAGGACGTGAAAGAAAAATTAAAAATTGAAATTAACAATCTACTATTCATACGCCTAGTGTGTTAACTTTTTATCGACAACGAAGCAAAGTCGTTAACCACATTTGTACATTTCGAAATAACACACCTGATAGTTATGATTATTTTTTTGTCTAATATTGTGATTAATTGCATAGCCAAGAGGAGCTATCGTTAAATAGTTTAATGACAAAAAAAAAGAAAAAAAAAAAAAAAAGATTCACGCAATAATGTAAAACAGATCTTTATTAAACATTGTTATTAATTCTGCGACAATAATTTCACTTTGCATTATACAAACATTTCAGGTTCGTAGTTTTGAGCTGCTTTATCTCCATTGCACTCTGGCTTACACTTATGGCGAGTCTGGCGATTGCGTCTCATGCAGAAATGATATTGTGTCGACCTCTTGACGATCCGGAGTTTAGAACCATAGAGGCTATTCTCGAAACGAAAATGTTCCTTGGCAGGCGACTTAATATACCCTTAAAGGATCTTCTTCAGTGAGTTTGGATTTTGAATTGCACGAAAACGACGGCTCGTGGATAAAATTCGTAGTTTCTTTTGTGTTTTCATTTTCTTCTTAAGTAGATATAAACATTCGTTGCTTTAATTCAAATTCAAATGTAAAACATAAGTTGTATTGAAATTGAAATTTGAAGTTTCTATCGTATGTATTTATACAATTTAAAGAAAAAAGTAAAGAAAAAAAAAAAAAAACTTCTATCTGGCAATAGAAATAATATGATTTTTTACGCTTAATCAGCTTTATTCTTATTTTAATTATTGATTGGATTATAATTGGATTGCTATCGCGATTGCTTCATTCTTTTTATATGCGGTTGAAAAGTAGAGGTCTGTAAACAAAGAGAGTCGTTTAAAACTTGAAAAGAAAGGATAAGCGAAAAGATTTTATCTCAGTATTAATGCCGATATAATATAACTATTCGATAATTTAGACGTTGAGAGAAAATTCCTTAGATCTTATAACAATAACAATACGAAAATGTATAGAGTATGAGTTGATATTTTTTTTATTTTTTTTTTTCTCTACCGCACCGAGTAAGTACAGACAGGCGTAATAAATTTTCTTTCTATAATATCCGAGTCACGATTACGATTATTATCGTGCGTGATTCGAGTAGTGAAACCTGTTCGATGATAGAAAATGCGAGGAAAGTGACTCTTCTTATCCGGCCATCCAACTGGACAATACAGAAAAGCTCGAGCAGTTAACGGCCCATTGGACTTGGTCGGGACTTTCGCGGGCAACTGCCAAGCTTAAGGTAGATTTGAGCGGCTTAAGAATTCTGTCACCGAATCTGCGCGACTCCTTGCAGAATCTACTATATGCCAGTGGACCTAATCTTACGGAGCATCGAATAATGGTGAGCTCCGTAGGTCGCATAACTATAGAGATTATCCGAGCTTGGCATTTCGTCATTTGTACGCTCGCGGCAGTAACGATGATATTTTTGTCCGGAAATAAACATCATCGCAGCTATCTGTCGTGAAGGATTAAAACGATAGAAAGTGATAATTATTGAGTGATAATTCCGAGTCTCTTGAATTTCTTCATTAATCATTAACATTGTGTACCTGCTTCAATACTACTACTCGTGAAGCTATTCGATTGATAGATCTCGACGGTCTGACGTGAATTTAACCGGTAATTGAACGGGTAATAAAGCATACGATATACTTGACATAAATTTCATCAAGTTACGCGAAGCGCTTTAACGAAATAAAACTATGGAAGCAAGAAATTAAATCACTTTTTTGAACCACGTCACGCGAATCTTAACTATCCTTGATTCCTTATCTTTTCCCCTATTCTTGTCTTTTTTTTTCTTTCTTTATTCTTTCTTTCTTTTTTTTTTTTTTTTTTTTTTTTTTTTTTTTTTTTTTTTTTTTGCTTCTTAACGCCATAACATTAAAAAAACAACACGTCGACAATGTATAAGAAAGTTATTTCTCTTTCTTACGCTATGGACAGTCAAAAGCTTGTCGCTTGAACAACGAATCCGATGAATAATCAAACTCGCCACTTGGTGAAAAAAATCTTAGCGATCGGACGCCTCGATTAAAAATGTGTTGTATATGTGCTAAAGTCGCTCGTCGTTCGTGCTCTCATCTCCTTCGCAGATACAAGGACCTATTCTTAACAAGGACCTGAACGCCTTGTCGGACCAGGTGGAGAACGTCGCGCGCCAAATGACCGATCGACGCACGGCCCGGAACTTCCAGACGCTCGCCGTGCGAATGCGCGACCTTCTGTCGCGGCGCGTCAAGCCGCTGATGAAGATGCAGGACGAGCTGGTGTACCAACTTGCAAGTCTGGAGTTGCAAATGCAGCCGTTGCAACGCCAAGTCAATCAGTCGCTGGCGCATCTACACAGCATCCAGTATTACATTGACAATCAGGGGGAGAAAATAGGACAACTCGTGAGACAATAATTGTTGAGCTTGAATTTTCTTTGCCGATCTGCTCTACTTGAACTGGCTGGCAGCTTCTTGCTTTTAGTTTTTGCACGCAATGCATGACATTTATCCTCGCGATGTTTTTCTTTTACTTTTACGTTTCGCTGCGTTAAAGCATTTATTTATATTTCCGTCTTTTTATATTGCGTCTAGTAGCATTTAATTTGACTATTAAGTTGTTGAATTTAGAATAGTGAAATGATAATATTTTCTGTCCTTTTATTACTTCTTCTTCTTCTTCTTCTTCTTTTTTTTTGTTTTTGTTTTTGTTTTTGTTTTTCTTTTTGTTTTTTTTTTTTGTTTTGGTTTTGTTTTTAATAAACACGACGCAAGGCGCCATTACATCTATTTATTTCAAATATTTATCCATGTGAAAGGCACTCTGTTTAGTAAACAGTTTGACGCTCGTTCCCTTCCTGATAATATTTCCAGAAAGCAAAGGCGTACGTCGATAGATTAAACAGCTTTCTGGAACAGTGGCGAACTCACGTACTTACGGAGATGAGCTCTGAAGTATCAAAGTGTCGACCTCTGTGGGATATTCTCCGAGGCATAAAACTACTCTTCTGCAGTCATATTTTAGGCCCTTTGGTATGTCAGTAAACGCTAATTGTTTGTAATACTACGCCAACGATTGTTTACCGCTCCCACGGCAAATTACGCAACTTTAGCAAATGCATAGCCGTAAAAAGACCAAAATATTCAATATTTGACTGAAAAGATTTTATAATCGACAATTTTGTTAATAACGAGGGTTGCGATTGTACATTGTTAAGGATCGGTGGAAATTTTAATGGACAATCGATCGATTATTTTGAGCTGACTGTTCAATAAGTGGAGTGGATTTTCTAAAAAACTTTTCAATGTAAATTATATACCGTTTAAACAAACATATTACGTACTAGAAAAACCTTATAAATAAAAGGTCTATCGTTTCCCATCTAACCCGTCCCGCCCCATCACATCCAACTAAATAATTCTTGCACGTCAATATTATATAAATAACGTCTAAAAACATTCTATACAGAAATATTAATAAAACATCTTGTGTAGAATGGATTGTGGTTCGCTATTCTGATTTGCGTTTTAATGATGCTAATAAGTACTCCAACGGCTCATAACCTTGCATCTAGCTATTCGTCCCAACGTTCTTGCAAAGGATCGGTACTTTTGACACCCAGGCAGTAAGGAAGTTTTAAATCTTGATAATCTTGAAATTAAACATCATTCGCTACGATGCAAGTAATATTATTTATTTTAACAGAGGAAGTCCAGATACCGTTTTGATGGAGCGAGAAACGTGGAGAACGCCACAGTAAGATCCTCCATCTAATTTAATTATATATATATTAAATTATAAATTACAAATCTATTCAAATGTAATTACCTAGAAAGTAATGATTATCACAAAAACAAAAATTCAAGGATATCCTTCAACTATTCGACACATATCATTTTGACTGTTTATTCTGTAGGTGGACTAATAATTTTTTAGAGGAGAGATTTAAAGAGTTGTTTTTTTTTTTTGTTTTTTTTTTTTTTTATTCAAATATGATAAAGACTATTTAGTGAGAGTAGATAGACTTTTATTAATTAAATTTTTAAATCGAAATATCGAATTACATTTCGCTAAACGAGGAAGTAAGATAATAGTCGTTATATATCCATATATCTTGATATAATTCAAACAAATCGAAGTTAAATTAATTTTTGTACATCATTCTTGTCAATTAGTTTAAGAGAGATAGATTGACTATAGTATAAGTGTTATAGTAAAAAATTGATTCGTTAAATTATAATGTACAACGGATGTTGAAATACTAATATCATTTTCAATGTTAAAACGCAATGTAATTAAGAACATAAAATGAGCTTCTTGTCGATTATTGAACGTGAACATATAAAAGTTTCAATAACGTTAGTAAATGATTTGAAATAGATTTTAATATAAGATGATGTTTGTTTTCAGTCCTCCGCCATCAGTCGATAGCTGGTAATATCCAGTGCAATTTCGTGGATTGGATTTAAAAGCTGAAAAAAACAACTAAATACTAAAAAGATCTAAAATATAAACACTATGCATAACTATTTTTAGATGTTTTCAGATTCAAAATACATTTTTACATTAAGAATTTATTCAATAATACGTAGTTAAAAATGGAATATATATATATATATATGTGTGTGTGTGTGTGTGTGTATATATATATATATATATATATATATAAAATCAAATAATTTTTATTATGCAATAACAAGTAGTATAAGAAGTTATTCTTAAACAACCGATAATATTCGTTTACGTATTTCAATTGAATTTCGATAAATAAAGTACTTTATTCGGAACAACATGAAAATGTTATTGTACCTGAAGAATTTCCAATTAATTAATAAAAGTGTCAAATTAGAAATTAATTTTAATTATTTATAAGTCTGTTTTTAAATTACATAAATCTTCATAATTATAAGCAGATTTTCTATCTATGAACATTATTGGAAATCTTATATATTTTCAATATGAATTGTACCTTGTAATGTAAAAGAAAAATAATAAAATTAATTATGTATGAAGTAATTAATTCTTATGTTCTAACTCATTATTGTTATCAAAAATACAGTATTTATCGAAGATTTAAATACCAGAATAGATATTGAAAAACAGTCTGTAAGAAGTTTAATGAATGAAAGTCATAGTCGGTGTACTAATTAAGTGGTAAATCATATAATAAGCCTGAAAAATCCTGTACGCAGTTATCAATTTATGGAAAAAAATTTTTTTTTGTACTGATGATTAATCCCGCAAAATTTTTCGACTTTAAGGCTACGTTCCCTACCCATCCAACCAAGAATTAAGCTAAGTCCAATTCGGCAAATATAATATAATTATGTTTGTTAATTTATTGGAGTGAAATCGATATCACCTATTTTATGTACTTTAAGTAGAAATAATAATCGCAGGCAATAGGATCCAAATCTTATGGTAAGAAGCATAGAGAAAAAAAATGTCATTACCTTGGATAAGCTACTTATCTCATGGATACTTGGGATGACGCACTGGCTTCTCCATAGGGATTTTTCGCTATGCAGTGATAAGTGCCAACGTGATAAGTTTCAAAACGTCCCAGTTGTAACCAAGAAGTTTGAATCAAATTTTCCGGTTCCGCTTGCTTCGCATCGCTGTTCTCCAGCTTATTATCTACGTAAAATAAAATTATACGACCAAGTGCTTTTAGTCCTGCACAACTAAAGTATTTGTATGTCTTATATATAAAAAAAAAAACAAAAAAAAAAAATATATATATATATATATATATAATTATGATATTAACTGTAACAATATATTAAACAACATAAAGAAAAATTCAAGCACTGTGCACTCGATGAGAATATTTTGCATATGCAACGAGCGAATTTCCTAAATTATGGATAAGATATGAAATTTGAAGTTACTTCTAAAGTTCCTTTTAAAATAAATCATTTTCTATCTGCTTCGCTCTATATTAGAATATAAAGTGATAATTAAAGAGATTATATCTAATTAATGCTTTATCATATTATTCATAAAGACTTAATTATTCTTATACTCTACAAAACCCTTATCGTATTATCATGTTATTCATATAAAATATACGGTCATTAGAATTTTAAATAAATGGAAAAACTATGTAATTAATATATAACAAAATAGGAATACTTGTTTAAAACAATAAATTTTGCATGTAATTTGAAAAACTATAGTAAAAATATTTTACGTAAATTTATATTATTGAATACCATTATATTAATTAACTGCATTATATTTAGATTTTTTGAATAAATTGATCCGTTCTCATTTAAAAGTCACGCTAAATAAGGTAAATGGAGAAAAAATTTTAAGTATAATAAAAATCGTAGAAATCAGTGGTCATCATATACTTTCATATAATATTTATATTGTGAGACGATATTTGCAAAATATTGTTTTTCTATATCAATGAAATAGTTTTGAATTAGATGTTTGCTATTTTATAAATGAATTTAAAGATAATTTTAGCTATTCGTAAATAATACGTTTATAAGCTTCTTTTAAAATGTTGAATCCAAATATTCAATCATTAAATGCACTTCATTTGGCAAGGCGCGTAGTTTGATATGAATGAAGGAAATATCTGCTGCATAAGCATACTAATTAAATAAATCATTTATAGATTTTATCTATTTTTAACATTACGTATAGTGCGGCAATTAATTAAATTAGTTTCATAATAATTAAATTTTTCGTTAAAAGAAGCTTTGTACGTCGAGTCGCTGAATAGGAGCATTAAAGCTCAGATTCATAAAGAAGCAAAATTTAATGTGTGCCGTTGCAAAAAAAAAAAAAGAATAATTTATTAGCCGTGAATCGTGAGAACCACGGTCTTCTCGTTATTAGTGTGTCGTATTGAACAAATTTCATAGTCAATCCTAATTGATGATATTATTACCCAATACGAGTTTTTTTTTTTTTTTTTTTTTTTTTTTTTTTTTAATAAAATACTTAGTCCATTATTAAATATGTAAAATGCTGAATGTAGAATGTAATATTATCGGACACTCCGTCAAGCTAATTGAATATTATTTAATAATAAATGCCACACTACATTCCGATGACTTTTAAAACTTATCAAGTACAAACTAACAGGGCAATCGAAAAAATTTACTGCCATCCGCCGAATGAAATTCCCAATAAATGTGTGGCAGTGGAAAGCCTTTAGCCTCGCAGTCAAAGGCAATTATTTGGCCGGTAGTCGCCACTATGTCTTTAGGACCTGAATAGATCCTCGGTCGACTGGGGCAGGGACCCAAATGTTGTAACTCCAATAAAGAGTCCCGAATGCGGATTGCTTCCTCGTGAAGGAAACAAGGTGTGTCGTAGGTGCGATTGTTAGTTCCGCAGGCTAAACTTTGTTCCATACAACTGCACGTTGCTTCGGGTACATCCTGCAGAAATAAAAATAATTCTCTCTCTCTCTCTCTCTCTCTCTCTCTCTCTCTCTCTCTCTCTCTGTTATCATTAGTCTCAAATTCCATTAAGCAAAGCTACAATCCTTATAAAGCATCCCATGCCAATAATATATTTTACTTTTATGAAAGACTTTTGTGAGCGTTTTTCATATGAAAAAAAAAAAAAAAAAAAAACGTACATTCCGTTAATTAAATTCAGAACAATTAATAGCTAAAGAATTTTTTAGAATTTATAAAAATATAATTAATTAAATAAGAAAAAGGTTTTGGCTTATAATTATATATAGGCGTATATTAGAATTTATGGAAAATTTATTTACATTACGATAGCTATTTGATTAATATTATTGACTCATTAAACGTAATAAAACTTTCATGAATCCTACTTAATTATTATGTGGAAATAAACTATCATGAGAAAAATGTTGACATGTTTTTTTTATCTAATATTTTATCTATATGTTTCAGGACAATTTAAAAGATCTTTTTCCCTAGCGAGCTCTAAGTTTCATAGGTTTATGAAAATAAAATTGTTACAATTGTAATTGGCATATAGTTAATTAATTGTTCGAATATCAAAAGATTGTTTAACGCGATGTTTACGACTTAAAGAGAATAATGAATTTTCAATAAAACTATATATTTTTAACATTAAAATTGACATCTGATAAACAATAATTATATTGCGTATTATTCTCATCAAATCAAGAATTAAGCACAATGTATTTACCTTACACTTTCTACTGATCATATTAAAAAATCAAAATATTTCGAAATTATTAGAATCGTTAAGACATACGACTTATAATGAATGTATATGCACTATCAACTATGATTAATATTTACAATGATTTTGTATATTTCTTAATGTTGCGGTGTTCTCGAATAGCAGAACAAGAAAGCTCATCTACATTCTTTTGAAATTTTCAATGAATTCACTTTCAATGGCATTTAAAAGTCGGTCGGACATTTGTCCTTTCGTTCTTTACGGGAATTTTACTGGAAAAATAAGTGAGCCCAAAATGCTTTACTTACGATTCGCCAGCTTTCAACAATCGGTCTCTTGCACAAAATTATGATTCTCGGCTCTTTGCTTGATTGCATGATTGCACGCGAAAAGAAAAGAAGAACAAGAAGCGTCAAAACGCTGATGTTGGTCAGCGACGCCAAAATCGTAGGCGTGTGAATGATTGCGCAAGTGTTAAACCAGAATCACTTGTGAAAAATCACTTCTCTTCTTGGCGTATCAAATTCATAGAAAAGATACATAGCGCGGAAGTGCAGGAGAGCTCTAATCGTCACTGATTTTTTCGTAATCGTTACCCGCAAAACGAGCATTTCTGAATCACTGATATTTAATATTTTATGGCCTAGAAAATAAAGATTATACTCGTTTATCGAGATACACAATTTGCGGACAAATTATTTCATTGAGTTTACTTTGTGCTCAACCTTTATTTAGAATTAACTCAATGAATAATAATTGGATAAATTTCACTTGGACTAATGGCATTTTAAGCTCGAGTTTTAGTAAAATTATAACTAAGAAAAGCATGCACAACCTTAAATTTTGCACGCGTTAAGCATTATAAATATCATATAAAAAGTACTTTCGTTACAAAGCTATGCACACGCATAAGTGTTCTGCATATCGTTAATGGGTGCCTGTTACGTAATTCAATTATCTCTAAAGCATTGCAATAAGATTTTTCAAAAAGGCTCGACTCGTCTATAAATAAATCGCGCTTTGTTAAAGAAAATTAGAGAATAATGTATCTCTATGAAATTACATAAAAAATTATAATTACTAGTGTTTGAATAATGGAAAAGATCGTTTTGACAACGCGTGTAGCACGAAATAAAGAGTTCTCATTGGCATTAAAATTATTCAGTATTAAAATCGTGAAACATCGATCGCATTGACGATGCCATTGAAATTCCGTTGACATATTAATTCGACTTTTAATATCCTACTGACGAATAATGACGAAGATGCTCGATATTGCGAACGACGTAGATGTAGATGTTTGATGATAATTTGCGCTTAGCGTACCTCGGGCTGTAGATCATCGCGTAACTTGCAAAAGTAATTCCGGGAGCAAAGGCCCTCGTTCTTCCGTACTTTCGGCAGTTCCGGGATGCTCGCGTTCCAGCAGGATTCGCCACCGAGACGGGCGCAGACTCCTTTGGTACAGCAGCCACAAACGTCGGGCACGAAGCCCAGAGGGCAGAGCGAAGCGTCCGCGGGGCATCTGTGATATAACATTCGTTATTATCGCTTTTGCATTGGCTCGATCGTTTGGATGGCGCAATGTAGCGAAATGCATATTGGAATTGTAATTGTGAATATGGGCTTATGGCTCGAATTTTCGCGCGTCGCGCCAAGAGAATATACAGAATTTTCTGATTAACTGGCTTCTTTTTTCTATAATGCCAAGGGAATCGTTGTATTATATTTTTATTATATTTTTTAATTCTCTTATCCTATAAATCCTTAAATAATTACGTGGTACACAAAAACTATAATAAATTACCACCGATTGATGCGAATGACAAAAGCTTATGCAAACTTGAAGATTCCATTCTTCATCTCGATATAACAACTAATGATAGTAGATGAGAGTCTAGCAGAGGTAATATTATGGAGTCAAACGCTGGATGAAATACCTGTTGATGTCGCAAGCTCGGCAACCCTCTGTATAATTGAGAGAGTTGGCGATTTTCGCGGGATGTGATCCTCTGGAGTGGAGCGCCAAGTAGCCGGAAGCTAAGCCGATGAACGCGAGGAGCGTTAGGAGTAGCGGCTGGCGCGACATTTTGAAGACTGACGTCGACGATGGATAGCGCAAGTGACGAGGAGCGTTGCGTATGGAGCGAAGATGAGCCGATGATAAGTGAGGAAACGTGATAAATTCTTACGGATGTGGCCTGCCGGCATTGTCTGCTCTCATATCGTTTTGGGGAATTCGCGCATTCGTTCGACACGTATTGGCGCGGCCAAGGGTTATCGCTTTCCATCGTCGAGAGTTAGCGTTTAATTATATTTATCGCTTGCTCGCTCGTACGTTGAATCGTCGTGGCCATTGAACGTTTATTAATGTGCAATTGATTCAATTACTCTGCGAATAATCGGCAACGTAAAAGGTTTCAAAGGTTCGGTTAGTCTCGATGGTAGTAAGATATTATGAATAATAATGCGATTGTAGGGTGTTTTTTCTTTCTTCAAAAACTATATCAACATAAAGTATATCATCATTAACTTTCAAATCTAGATATTTTACAGTTAATATAAATGAAATATTGTATGAATGTATCGGAACTTTTGCACAATATAAATCCGAAGCTTCAAAGTACTTGAATTAAAACTATTAATTTATCATCAAAGTACTTTATTTCATAATTTAAGAATATTACATATTTCGCTTGAGGTATGCAACAAATATTGTTAATGTTTAATGCTTGATGTATGAAACTGTTATTCGATTAACATTGACACTATAATTTTATTATCGTCATTTGTATCTTATTATATAGTGTTGTATCATTCGTAAATATATGTGCGAATTTCTGAATTAACAATTTATAGGTAATTGGAGGAAAATACATATATTATCTCATTATGTTACAATATGGGCATTAAATTATTTATAAATCATATAAAGTGTAAGCAGATACTAATGTTGTAATATTGATTCCATTACTATTACAAATGAAAAATGAAGAAATATAATAAAAAAAAAAAAGAAAATTTTTTTTTTTTTTTTTTTTTTTTTTTTAAATACGTAATATAAATTTTTAATTTTTTAACCAAAAAAAAAAAAAAAAAAAAAAAAAAAAAAAAAAAACATAATTTTTTATTAATTCCTGAAAAAAGTAAGGAAAACAAGAAGGGTAAACATAAGCGGATAAGTCTTTTAAAATACTTGCTTTTCTACCAATATATAATATTGAATTGCATAAAATTTAATTTATAATATCGACTGTAAGTTATATTTGTATTAATTGAATCAGGTATTTTCAAATTAACCCATATTAACATATTAACATTTTACCTATGGAATGGGTGTGTGGGTGATAATAAAATTTATTATTGGACAATCGAATGAATGGAATTTTCTCACATTAAATAACCGACATTTAATAAATATAATAAATAATACATAATAATAGAGAGATGACAAACGAGGGCAAAAAGAAGTGAAGTTCATAAGCACAAGTGACGCATTGCTCTACATTTGCGAGCCCCAAGAATTTCTTAACCCAACGATAAAGTAATTCATCACCATTTTCAATTCTTAATAGTAATTTGCCGCTTCGTCGTTTATGAATTTTTTTTAGTATTATAAAAGTCAGATGTGATTTTCTTTCCTTATGTCCTTATCCTATTGTTTACATAGCTTATGAGAACTGTTCTTTCGTTCGTTTTTAACATTTCTTAAATTTATATGCATAAAATTGTATTGTGAGACGTAATCATTTTATATTCTAAACATTGTTGTACGTGTAAGATATATAAAACTATAACAAATCTTTATTACTCTAATACTTACTTTTAATGAATTAAACGAGTAATACTTTTATTCAAATAAATGTATTATAATATAATATAAATACAATTTTTATCTCACAAATGATAATAAGTCTTGAAAGGAAGCTATTCAAAGGAAAATCGATGAACAATATACTTTCATCTATTGTATGGTGAAAAAATACGAAATGATACGTAATGTACTTTATGTATAATGTGTAATGAAGAATTAAAGACACTAGTTTAGTAACGAATTAAATTAGAGATAAAGAAATATAATCATTTTTATTCTTATGTGCTAATGAAGTATCCGAGTAACTAATTATCATAGTTGAGAATTACATTATTCACTTATATTATAACTTATATGTATCATCTTTAGAAATGACAATTTTTTTTTTTTTTTTAATTTATAATTATATGATAATTTCAAACTACGATCTCTGCTATAAAATTAATATTTGAAGCGTAATAACATATTACTTTTGTTGTTAAAAATTTGCTTTGCCTTATTTCTCCAGCTAATTCTTATCTCGCATTTGAATACATCATACTTTCAGTTTCTCTCGTGCTCAATATATTTTTCTATCCCTTATTCTCTCGTGAGCATTTTTTCAACTACGACTCAGTCATTCGATCGCTCATTTCCCTTTTATGGGCATCAAGGAGCGTTATTCGTTCGAATAACTCGGAACAAATGTTGGAACACGATACAAGAACTTTTTGAATGGCATCGAATGAGTCGACACTAATTATTCTCTTGACAGAATAGTTATCAAATAGCATAAAATGGTAATATGCGCTAAATAAATTTATTAGAAGAGTGAAATATTAACTGAGACTGTTGGGAGTAATACCGTTACGGTAGAGTAAATTATTAACATAACAGAACGAACAACGATAACTATATCCGTAAAAAAAGTATTTTTTTGTTTTTTTGTTTTTTTTTTTTTTTTTTTTACATTTACTATCTAGAAGAGTGCGAAAGAAGTATGTATGTGGCAGGCGATTCGACTTTCTCCTTCTCCATACGACGCACTCGCGGACGCTTTCCTGGCGATTTATTGAGGCAGCGGTTAGCAGGAAGCTTCGTTATCGTCCACTCGAGCCGAGATGCAGTAACGCCACATCCCGCAATAGTGCGCCAGTCCTCGATAATGATTGCCCCTTGGCACGTGACCGGACAATCGTTGCCTGGCCGATCCCCCGCTCGTTCCCCTAGAATCGCGTGCTTTTTTAGAATCCTTGGGAAGAGTTTGCGAGGATCGTTAAATCGCCTAATCAACTCACAATTATTTTCAGGGCCCCGAAGGCGTTTGGTAGCTACTCTCCCAGATCCCTTTAACTTTTCATTAATATATAATTAATTCCAACAAGATTGATAATTGTTGAACGATATGATTTTTTACTTTATAAAGATAATTGCATACATGTTTGTTTGAATAGAACTAGTGATATTATTGCGGACAAAACTTTGTTTGTGTCGTAAAAATCTCATATTCTATTGTCTTTTATTGCTTCAATTGTCAGATTAGTTTTTACTTAAGCCCATCGATTTATAGATAATTGTTTGCTAATGTTTATACATAAATCGTATTGAAAGTACATGGCTGCATATGAAATAATATCTAAGTGTAATAAACTCTTGAAAATAACTTGCAAGCTATTCATTTGCTTAAACCAATGTATTTATGAAGGAATTTAAAAAATATTGTACTAATAATAATAATAACATAAATTATCTACAAGTCTATATATTAGATGTATATGGAACATCAATTGTATATAGATGTAGTAACATTCAAATCTGATTGTAAGTAATTTAAATTATGAAATTTTAGCGAACTGTTTGCGAATGTAATTGTGATAACGATTATTGTATAAAGAAAAATATATATTTATAATTAGCACAGAGTATACAATACATTTAAATAATTAAAATATTATATAAATATATATTTATATAAGCTCCGAATAACTGTTTATGTACTAGATTTAAATCAAATGAATTATTATATTACAAATTATTTTTAATTATTTTTAAATAATTTAAATTATGAATATGAAATATATATATATTCCAAGATCTAAAATGAAAAATATATTAAAAAGATGTTAAAAACTTCCAATTAAAAGTTTCTAATAAAAGTTTCTAAGGTGGATATATATATATATATATATATATATATATATATATATATATATATATATATGTATATAGATTATAAATTCAAGAAAAATATAAATCTAAATCATAAATTAGAATTTAATGTAAATTTTTATATAATTTATGTTAAGAAAACACTCATTTCTTAAGATATCATATTTCGATAGAAATTTATTCAATTACACATTTGTATTCATTATCATGAACCGATTGAGAATATTCCTATGAAATCAATTTCATTTACGTTCAAATTGAAAATTCGATAAAAAGATAATTGTTCCAGAAAAATGTATAAAATATTCTATAAATTATACGTGATAACTTATTACAGTAATAAAAACGTTGTGAAATTATATCGGAATGACAATATAGACAATTAGAATATATAATAAAAACTTATTATAAAAACAAAAAACAAAACAAAACAAAACAAAAATGTATATATATATATATATATATATATATATATATATGAAGCCAGTTTAATTATCTTTCTATTAGCAAATCTATAAATGTTAATCGAATATATATAAATGGCAATCACAACTACAGGTATCGATTTTAAAATTCAATATTAGAAATTCTAATTTCAGTTGTAAAATGATTGCGCACACAGAGTCATTAAAATATCAAGTAGATAACAACTAATATGTAATTTAACATGAAAGCTCTCGTTTGAAAGTGAATAATAACATATCCTAGAGACAGAAATTATCCAAAAAAAGACGATCTATAAACGAATCAAACAAATTTGTACGGCTTCCAAATAATTGCCGTGTCCATATTTTGGCAAGAAATCGATTTCACTCTACCCTTAATACCCGTACGGGCCAAAATAATGGCGTCACCGATCGAAAATACCGCGACTAGTCGTTTTCTTACGTCACGCCCAACGTTCTGCCTTTGATTCTTCGGCATCCGGATGATCTTTGGCTGGCGTCGCTGCGACCTTCTTAATTGACGGTGTGCAGGTAACGAGCGTCGCGATGATTTATCGTTGTCGACATCACGGGATTCATGACGGCGCCGGCGCCGCTCTCTTTCTTTCTCGGATAATCGACTCGCCAGTCATCAGTAATGTTTCATCAAGTGTTTCACGAGCGGCTTGTGCACGTGCATATTCGATCTGTTCGAAATTTATTTTTGGGTTTTTGCGCAGCGTGGAAGCTTTGTCGTAACGTTTGCTTTGAATAACAAAGGTTCGATTATCATTTTTTTTTTTTTTTTTTTTTT